AAGCTGTCTCAGTCAGCATATTCATAGTTTCCGTATTAAAATATGTGTCGAGGCAGAGATAAGGCGTACTAAAAATGCAATTGCACATGAAAAGCGTGCTGTTCAGCTGATCAATGAATCCTCTGCACTCATGAAACTCCTTCGGAATAAACTTGAATGCTCTAAAGAGGAAGGAAGGAGCAAAATTACTAAGGACAAGTGAGTGTACGCAGACCGCAAAAACATCGTAGAGCTGCTAAAACAACGTTTTGTGCTGTATTAACGAACGAAATACCAACAAATAAATCACACCTGACCCAAGTTCCTTCCTGTGAAATCGCCAGTGTTTACCTTAGTGTAGAGAACATTTTCAAGGCGATTAGTACACTGAAGCACTGTTACATTGAAGGACCAGATGGTATCCCAACCAGCATGCTGAAAAATGGTAGCGATGATCTTTGTGTTATTCTTCTCAAACTATTTATTATATCCCTCTCCACAGTGTTACCCTAATAACTGAAAGACTACACATATCCTCCTCACAAATAAATCTGGGTCTGCAGCGAATGTTGAAAATAATAATAATAATAATAATAATAATAATAATAATTCCATTACCTTTGATAGTATTTGTAGTAATGCAACTGGTCTGTAACAGTCTGGGTCCTTTCTATCTCCTCCTCTGAAGATTGGAGAGAGAGTAGCTTGCTTACATTCCTCTGGAAGTTAGTGTGAATTCGGTAGATGCCTGAACAGGTCATATATCCTAGAAGAGAGGACTTCTGCACATTATTAAAAGACTATGGGGAGAACATCGTCACAACCTGGTGACTTATCTGGGCGTAAGGATTTCAGTTGCCTTAGTACTAAGTAAGGAGAGATACGGATATTCCTTAAGCCGTCAGCTGGCACTGGGTTTGCGTAGTATTCTGAATATGTGAATGCCTGGTTTAACCGATCGATGAAATGTGTTGAAGTGTGTTTTCTTGTCGATCCACGGAGAGTAGTGTGAAAACGTGAACAAGGAAGTTACAGACTAAAATGGGGCTCTACATTTATTCCATCCATCTTCGACAAACCCATCTACACTCACTGACCAATCTGTTGCGGTAGCACAGTCTCTGATTAGAATGGTACCAGGTCACATTTTAGGGTGAGGTGTAGCAGTTACATTATGCGCACGGTATTGTTGAAACTTAAATTATGTGCCACTTGGTCACTATTAGCCAGTGTGAGTAGGTACCAGATATTAATGGCATCACTATCGTTGTGAGTACAATTAGAACCCAGTAGCGATGGTTCATGTTCCAAGTCACTACTCCCTGGTTTCGCGATACAATGTACGAATAATAGTTGATAGCTGACTGACGTCAAAACATCCCTTTGAAGTTGTAGGCCCTGTCCAAATGATGTGTGATGTGTTGAAAATTTCGACGTGAAGACAAGAATCCCCCTAACTTTATGTTCAGATATGACTTGTGGTGAAGTCATTAACAAGACAATATGAATTACAGCACATCTTTCTACGGTCGTTAATGCATATCTAGACCTCGTAATACAACAATCAATCTCATATATATTAATATCACGAGCCTCTTATATTTATGGTTGTACAGTTAAGTGATCTCTAACATAAAAAATTGCATCTATTCGCCTACGATTTATGACCCTGTCACTTCTAACAGAGGTATATCTTATAAGGATTGATAGACAGTCTACATCAAAGACTAGACATGTGCCCACAACAACGATTATATCAGATCTTAATTAACTGACAAAATTTTAAGTTTAACGGTCAAAAGTTCCGAGTCTTATTTGAGGTTTACCCTAGTTTTTGTGCACCAGGTTAATCTCTGCTTCTTTCCAGTCTCTTTTAAAACTAGGTCTCTTCGAAATCTTATAGGTTTTTCCGCTAGATCTTTAAAAATCATTGGTGAGTATCATTAGTACCACTGGAGTGACGTGGTGTTACAATGTCTTAGGTTTCCAAGTGCTTGTTGAATTGTACTAATTGCATGTGATCAACATTGACACTATTTTTAAAAGTCAATGTAAGTTTTCGCAGATTCAGTGAGTCTGACTTCTGATAGTTGTTATTTGTCAGATTCTGCACCCTATATTCTAAGATTTTTGTTTTTTCTTTATGATACACATTATTACAATGTCTGTTTTACAGATTTATATACTTGAAAGCACAACAGCTGATAAGGAAGTTTGGACAGGTTTATAATGAACCACGCATAAGTTTACATACTATTTAACCACTTGATACGCAAGCGATATGACTTGATGTTTTGAAATTCCCGAAGTTCTTTCCGGTAATTAATCTTGTTCGGGATGAACTAACAGAGCAAATCAGTATTAAAAGCTCAATTCATCAAGCGAGCACACAAAGTTAGATCACCATAACATGTGGTTAGGTTGTGGAGATGCACCAAGACGCCGGTTTCCTTCTGTAAAGCGAGCCAAAGAGCTCTTTCATTCTGTTGGTTTCTATTATTTCAAACAATGTTTCGTTACTTGAGTTCATTATTCTATATACGGCTGGATATGAGTCGTTTAAAATACTGTGGAAGTATCCTCACTTTTGCAATTTTTAAAATTGTCTCATCTCTTTGAGCATGGCTGTTGTATAGTGGTTTGGATTCAGTACTTAGTACTGCTAAATCCTTATAGTCAGTTACCTACTGCTTGTTATATAGGGAAGCTAGTCGCTACAATTCTTTACTTTAATTATCACAGGCCTTTTATAGCTCACTTTATTGACCATTTACCTTCCCATCTAACCATGGAATTCAAACCTTTTTTTATAATCCTCCCTTTTCGTCATTATCATGATGTATGAGTCTCTGTACTCTGATTTTATCCATCTACAATATAACAGATGACTTTAGAGGCCTCCTAGTAAAACTACACTGACCTAATTAGTCTATCAGTTTCTTAGAATTTCTTTTTACGTTTCTAACTGTGATATTTGATCAATTTGGATATGACTATCTTCACAGTTTGAGACTCGTCACAACATTTTAAAGTCTTTATCTATGATTCTCTTTTTGAGATGATTAGGTTGTTGAATCAAGTACACTTTAAGTATGGAAAGTGCTTTATAAGAAAGCATAGGCATAAATAAGGTGATATAAACATCTATAAATACTTATTTGTTTAAGTTAATTCGATCTAGATTTACATAAGGGTTGGAAATTATTCCGATAAAAGAGCATAGCAGAAAAAGATCAACCTCAACATTAACGGAAATCTTGAAATTGTTGGGATATTCATCAAATATCCTAAGAAAAATTATTCTTGTAAGTTTTGGTAGTTAGATCCGATTTTGTCTATCTCGTTGCATTACTGAGTCTTAGAATTTATCCTCAGCTATGCTAGATTTCAGTGGTTATTAATAATGGATAAAACGTTATTGGTGTTTGTTTTCTCTATGTATGACTTTATAAAATTTTTGTAAAGTTTAATGAAATTCTGAAACATATCGTGCACTTTTTATTTATGAATCAATCGACAAACAGATTGACAAAATTCAATTTTATCTAGTTGTTGATAGCTAGTGTAAAGATTGATTCTTCAACCCTTACTGAAAGCTAAAATTCTACCATGAGTGTTCAGGTACATCTCGTCTTTCCTTTGTATTGTTGGTGGTGGTTTTTTCATTGTCATTCCTCGTAAGTTTTTTTCGTTGTCGTTTATTTTTCTTGTACTGTTTGAAAGTGCAGGATTGTACAGCATTAAATTGACAAAGGCACGACGTAATTATAGGAGTATTTGACTTTGCAAGTAAATTTCAACAGAACAAAAAAGTTTCTTAACTGAAAAATATGATATATTAAACATTGGCCCGGCTATTCTATCGCACACGCAACAACTAATGCAAGAGAAGACGACTAGTGTAGCAGCAGCCTCTGCAGCAGTAGGGCTCAACATACATAAAGGAAAAATCAAGATTCTACGATACAACACAACATGCACCAATCATATCACTCTTGATGGAGATGACTTGGAGGACGTTAACACCTTTACATATCTGGGCAGCATCATCGACGAGAAAGGTGGATCCGATGCAGATATGAGGGCGCGGATCGACAAAGCATAGGCTGCATTTCTACAACTGGAAAATATCTGGAACTCCAAACAACTTTCAACCAACACCAAAATCAGGATTTTCAATACAAATGTCAAGACAGTTCTACTGTATGGAGCGGAAACTTGGAGAATTACGAAAGCCATCATTCAGAAGAAACAAGAGTTTATTTATGTTGAGACCTGCTGCATCTGCTCAGAGTGCTGCTACACTGGTAGTCTTCTCTTGCATTTGTTGTTGCATGTGCTACAGAAGAGCCAGATCATCTGGGAAGTCCAAATCGTCCAGCTGCGTCCTAGCCGTCCACTGAATACCGTGCTTCCTTCCAGATATTGACGTCTTCATAATCCAGTCGATCACTAGGAGAAATGAACTACTCTAAAGGTGTTTAAATTTCAAATTCCAGCTACTTACTTGCCATATGACTATTCGATGTGGACTAATGACGGAGTTTATTCTAAACATTTAATCAAATTCACTGGTTTTTAACTTCTGCGGATCCTCTAGCGTAATATCTAGTTTGAAGAAAAACTATTGTAGTGAAGGAGAACACAGGTAAGGGCAACCAAATTGTATTTAACGAAAATTACAGAGTTACTCAGTAAAATAGGAAAACCATATCGTAAATCGTTGTTAATTTGCAAATCTTCAATCCATCATCAATCGATTGTCTGACATTTCACTCACTATTCATGCATTTCATACAAATTCCATTGTGTTCCCACTCTTCTTCCTTTCTTGATCTTCCCCCAAACTTCTGCTGCCAGACATTACGTTTACACTCGCGTCATATACTACTTATAAGTAGCGCGCACCACACTATTCTCAAATGGTAGTTTTTAATCTCACTATCTGGCATCATTTCATTTTCCATGTGTTATTTTTATATTTTCTTCTTCTTCTTTCGTAACAGCAGCAGTAGTTAAAAATGTCAAAATCCACGAAAAATTTACAAAATTCCGCTGTTATCCGTAGTAATAATGTTATTGAAAATAAAAAGAATGATACTACTGAGAAAATGCAAAAGACTATTAATGATAATAGTGTGAAAATGGAAAAAACTATTAGTGATAATACTGTGAAAATGGAAAAAACTATTGGTCTTGTTAGTAGTATTACTATTATTATTGGTTCAATTATTGGTTCGGGAATATTTGTCAGTCCAACTGGTATATTGGAAAATATGCATAGTTTTGGTGCAAGTCTGATTATATGGATTGGATGTGGAATTTTCTCTCTACTAGGTGCTTATTGTTATGCTGAATTAGGCACAATGATACAACGTTCCGGTGGTGATTATGCTTATGTACTTGTAGCATTTGGTTCATTTATGGGATTTTTACGTTTATGGATTGAAGTAATGGTAGCTAGACCAGCTACAATGGCTGTTATAGCTATGACATTTGCTAAATACATTTTACAACCAATATTTCCTGATTGTCCTCAATCTGATGCAGTTGTTAGATGTTTAGCAGCTGTATGTATCAGTAAGTTGACTTAAACGCTTACTTTTACCCAAATTTTTATCATCGTTAATGTGAATAGTTCGATAGTGGAATTGAAAACGGTCGTCATCTAGTGCGACAGTCAATTTACATCACGGGATTGTGAAGATTGTTAAGTTACACATTTTTGAAACCATGAATCGATCAATGTTAGACCACCATTAAAAACCCGGAAGCACTGGACGGCCGTTTCGTCATGGTATGGGACTCCTCAGCAGTGCGCATCCACGGCTCCTGCACCCCGCAGGATTCGAACCCACGACCTTTGGTATTGTGCGCGCACGCCCTAACCGTTAGACCACTGTGACGCTATCCAGCGGTGTTAAGTCTAACTTGATCCTGCGGGTTGCAGGAGTCATGGATGCGCACTGCTGAGGAGTCCCATACCAGGACGAAACGGACATTGTCCAGTGCTTCCAGGTTTCTAATGGTGATCTAACATTGATCGATTCATGGTTTTAGTTTCAATTGTGTTGACTCAATTTTCATTTGTTGTTACATTAATTTTCTCATAATGTAGTTAGTTGCTCGACTTTGATAGCAAAAGTTGAGATGATGGAGTAAATTTATAGTTCCGATGGATGATTGTGGTGGTATTTCGTTCTCTGAGTTGGATGTTTTAGTTGTGGAGATTTCATCATTGTTCTTCGTCTGAACAACATCATTAGCTCAGAGAATGAAACATTACCACAAGGCAAAAGTTCCTTATAGTTTAGTTTGTTGTAATCTTAATAATAAGAATTTTTCTACAATTTTAATGGTTACCGAATATTAATCCTGGCTAGCAGTAATAAGTAGTGAGTAGTTTGATAGCTTACATCTGAAAAATTAAGCTATATGTTTTTTATAATAATCTGTATTCCATAAAACTAAGAATCCGATCATTATTTTTTCAAAATGTTGATAGTAAACAGAAGTGTTTCAAATATTTGTTCCTTGTCGCTTCGAATAAAAATATTTAAGAGTTGAAACAAACAACCCATTATTATATGTATATCGGTTTAGTTTGGAGATTATTTTTCTACCACGAACTAGGGATGATTGAAAGTCACTAAGAACTTTAAAGTTATCTCATTCTTGTCAGGGATTTATTTATTCTAGCGTCGTACGCCTACGAGTTTATTAATATTCGAAAATACAAAATCAAAAAGTTTCAATGAGATCTCATTAAAAACAAAACATTTTAAATTGATATACGTTCGTTGTTCAGTGGTGATTAATGTATGTGTACCATGTGAAAAGCTATAGAATAAGTGTATACAATTGCATTGTGATATTCATCCATTAGTAGTGAATGAGAACACAGGTGAGGGCAACCGAATTGTATTTAACGAAAATTACAGAGTTACTCAGTAAAATAGGAAAACCATATCGTAAATTGTTAATTTGCAAAATATCAGTTCATCATATCGAACTGGACTGCTCCTGTTGCAAAACATCAATCCATTGTCACTACTATTCATGCTATTTCATACAAATTCCATTGTGTTCTTCTAACTCTTCCTTTCTTGATCTTTCCCCATCTTCTGCTGCCAGACATTATTACGTTGACACTCACGTCATATACTACTTGTAAGTAGCTCACACCACACATTCATCACTATCTAATGTTAGCCTTTCATTTGAAAAAACTTCATTTCATTCTGTCTATTTCATAACTCTCATTGAATATTTTTATTTGATTTCTATTCATTCATATTTATCATAGTGATTTTAGGATTTATCAACTCTGTCTCTGTACGTTGGGCTACACGTGTACAAGATGTTTTCACTTATACAAAAGTGATAGCATTGTTAATGATTATTATTACCGGGTTTGTACAAATTGGGCTGGGTAAGTTTACATTTCAATCACTATATATATATATATATATATATATATATATATATATAATTTTTGAATTATTTTTTCAAATTTTACGAAAATTTCTTAAAAGTCACTCACTTTCACTGGTTAACCTCACCCTCAACGGAGGCGGAGAAGAGGCCATCGACTATCTTGTCATTCTCCAACTTGTTCTGTCCTCCTCCATCTTCATTTCTCGGTTCTGTTCAATTGTTATTGTTCATTCTCCCACATGTCTGTATTCATTATTCGGTGTAATGTGTGTTCCTTGACCTTCTTCTTTTCCCTTGGTTCTTTTGAGGGTTCGCTTATGACACAGTTGATTGTTTTCCTCAATGTGCGTCCTAACCACATTCAGTTTTTCTTCCTGATTTCCCCCCCCCACCAGGTAAGTTGTTGATGTCTGGCCAGCGTATATTCAATATATTCCGTAGACAACTGTTAATAAACATTTATATCTACTGGATGATGGGTTTCCACTTCGTACAGTAGAGTTTTCATGGCATTTGTATTGAAAATTCTGATTTTAGTGTTGATTGATAGTTGTCTTTAGTTGTAAATATTGCTTGTTCTTGTTTAATCGATCCCGCGCCTTCACATCTGCATCAAATCTACAGTGCTCGTCAATGATGGTGCCCAGATATGTCTGCGCTTTTAAATCCTCGAAGGCATCTCCATCAAATCCATGTACCTAAATTGTCAGTACATAAGTGAGCTTAAAGTGGCTGTGAATAGGAGGAGATCAATCAACCAATCAACAGCAATATAGAACTTCGTATGTAAGTACATCAGTTCAAGTTGCCACATTACATTAGCACACAGTGATATAATTGTCAATTCAAATCCCATAGTAGTAGTAGAGGTAGTGAAAGTATTAGCAGTAATCGGAGAGATTAGGGTTCGAAGATATTATTCAAAAAGTAGAATCTAGTGAAATAAACTTAGAAAAACATAAAGGTGATGAGGAACTGTGAAGGTTAGAATTTTATAGAACACAAAGAATGAATACACCGGCGCCATGGCAAACAATTTTGCGCCATGTCATTCAGGGTCTCTAACCATCGATTATTATCATTTCGCGGACCTCAATCAGATAGTCTACACCTACCGACATCACTCAGTTCACTTGTCAGTGAATTCGTGGATTTCTGCCATGTTTTTGGTTTGGCCGCCCCTAACTTTCTTCCAACTTATTCCTACACCACAAAATATAGCTCGACGAGGCAGTTGGTGGTTGGGGATACGCAACACATGTCCCAACCACTTGAAGTGATGAAGTTTCAATACTTCATCTATTGACCTGCTATCCTTACCTAGAATAGGAGAGACTGTGAATATTAAACTGTAAATAAAATGGGAACAGTAAATCGTTCGATATTAATCGATATCTATAGATTGACAGAAACCTAATAAAAAGAATATATATATGTATATATATCTGTTAATCTGCTTATCTCATAAATGTGACAATTCTATACAAATATGACGTTAGAAAAAATTGTCTTGTAAAGTTTGTTGCTTTGTATTTTATAGTCGTTCCTCACAACAAGTATGAGAAAGGTACTTACTTACTTACTTACATTCATCTGTTAACAACAATGGAGCATAGGCCGCCAACCAGATTTCCCCTACCTACTCTGTCCTAGGCTTCGCTTTCCAGTCCTATCCAATTTTTGTTCATTCTTCTCATATCTTTCTCGGTGTAATATGTTCTTTGGCATTCCTCTTTTCCTTTGACCTGGAGGGTTCCAAGTGAGGGCTTGTCTTGTGACGCAGCGTAGCGCTTTCCACAGTGTGTGGCCTATTCAGTTCCACCGCTTATTCCTGATTTCCTCCTCCGCTGGAAACTGGTTTGTCCTCTCCTAGAGTAGGTTGTTGCTGATAATATCTAGTCATTGGATCCGAAGTTTCGAGCGTAGACTTTCGTATTTCTCCAAGTTTCCACTTCATTCAGTAGAACTGTCTCGAAATTCGTGTTAAAAATTCTGATTTTGGTTTTGATTGACAGTTGTTCTGAGTTGCAGATGTGCTTCAATTGTAGAAATGCAGCCCTTGCTTTGATAATCCGCGCCCTCACATCTGCAGCGGATCCACCTTTCTTGTCGATGATGCTGCCAAGATATGTGAAGGTGTTAACGTCCTCCAAGGCATATCCATCAAGAGTGATTTGATTGGTGCATGTTGTGTTGCATCGCAGAATCTTGATTTTTTCTTTATGTATGTTGAGACCTGTTACTACACTAGTCGTCTTCTCTTGCATTTGTTGTTGCATGTGTGATAGAAGAGTCAGATCATCTGCAAAATCAAAATCGTCCATCTGGATTCCTGGCTATCCATTGGACACCATGCTTCCCTTCAGATGTTGACGTCTTGATAATCCAGCCAATCACCAGGAGAAAAACAAAGGGTCAGTAAGAGTAAGCCACTTTGCTCTGACACCGGTCTTCACCTCAAACGAATCTGTCAGCTGGTGGTGGTATAAAACATCCATGCATAATATTTGAACCATATTATTATTGGTCACCACTTACAGTCAATGTTGAAACTATTTTACGCATTATCTTCAACTAGTAACGCTGTTTTTTTTTTTCATGAGAGATACTTTCCAACTAACTGCGCTTATAAAATTTTCTTTTCTAGGTCGTGTAGAAGAATTCCAAGCACCATTCGATGGATCCAATTGGAATCCGGGTAGTATTGCTAAAGCATTCTATAGTGGTTTATTTTCATATGCTGGTTGGAATTATTTAAATTGTATGATTGAAGAAATGATCAATCCTAAACGTGATCTACCCATTGCTATTGTCTTTTCATGTCTTATTGTAACAATTGTTTATGCATTAGCTAATGTGGCTTATATTACAGTAGTTTCATTGAATGAAATCTTAACTACACCAGCTGTTGCTGTAGTAAGTAAATTACTGTTTTTTTTATATATATTTTTTATTGATTCAAATGGTCGGTCATTTGTTTTGTTATGTTTTGTTCTGTTTTTCCGGTGAGGAAATATTTCACTGCATTCATGAATTGATCATTATTTGAGATGGTGGAGAAAACTTGTAGCTCAGGTGGATGATTGTGGTGGTAGTGTTTCGTTCTCTGAGCTGGTTGTTTTGGTTGTGGAGTTTTGATTGTTCGTCTACTGAACAACATCATCAGCACAAACTTCAGATAGAAGTGAAGTATTCGAATTTCTCCTCCACGTTTGACCTGTAGCTTGTTCTGCTAACCTCGATGTTGATTGGTTGTTGTTGACCTTTGACTTGTCGTTGTTTGCAACTATGTTTTGATTGCACCCCACTTTTGATCTGTTTCTTGATCTAGTGTCACCTATGATTCTCCTGATTGGTTGATAAATTGGGTCAATGTCGATTTGTTTGTTGATTGCTAATTGACCTGAGTGCCAAGCTTCTAAAAATTCTCTAGTGTTCTTTGTCCTCCCGCCATTCAGTATTTCCACGTTGTTCCAATCAAATGTGTGTCCATAATTGTCGGTATGTATTGATATAAGCGAAGCGTTGTCGTGGCGTTTGACTGCTAATTGATGTTCACGTAAACGGAGCTGAAGAGGTCGTCCACTTTGTTCAGAAGAACAATGAAAGCTCCACAACCAAAACCACCAGCTCAGAGAACGAAACACCACCACAATCATTATTTGAGCACAATAAGAAACTTGGATGCCACTGGGGATGGCCATTTTGTCATAATATGAAACTCACCAGCAGTGCACATCCATGACTGTCATGCGCAGGAATCGAATCCAGGACCTACGGTCTCATCTATGAACGTTTAATCTCTAGATTATTAAGTTGGCATCTAATAGTGTTAATGTCTAACTCAAATTGGTCGAAAGTATTGCGCGACCTAACCGATTGTCTTCTGTGAGTGACTGACTGTCTCACACTCGACAGGGTTGAACTCCAGTGGTTATGTCATTTTTTTTTCTAGTAAAACTCATTCTAGTTATTAAAAACCTAGTTGAAATTGGTTTATACAATTTTTTGGAATGAATTTTCAAACTACAGAACCCTTCACTAAGCACTAGTTTAGTATTATTATTATGTTACTTAATTTATGAATGTAGTAGACCTGTAGTAAAGGATTGTATTTAACAAAAAATTACAGAGTTACTCAATAAAATCGGAAAACCATATCGTCCGTCAATCGTTCATTTGCAAAATATCAGTTCATCATATCGAACTGGACTGTTTCTGTTGCAAAACATCAACAATCCATTGTCACTACTATTCATGCATTTCATACAAATTCCATTGTTTTCTTCTAACTCTTTTGTTTTCTTGATCTTCTCCCATCCTCTTCTGCTGTCAGACATTATTACGTTGACACTCACGTCATATACTACTTATAAGTAGCTCGCACCACAGACCTACATAATTTTTTATTATTTTTATTTGGTTTCAAATATCCTTGAAACCATTGTCAAAGTATGATGAAAAAACGTCTAAGTAAGTTGTTGTAAGATTTCAGTCCCTGGATATATGTACTGAAAATAAATGCAGTTGTAATTTTGACATGAATTGTTCTATGACTCATACAATAAATTTTTGTATAGCTTAGCAAATTCATTCGTCTTGTTCACCTAAAACGAAAAATAAAATTATTTTCCACAATTGATTTATTCTGTGTATAACATTGATCGTGTATCAAGGGACTACTGAGTAAGTAATGCTGTTGTTAGGAAACGGGTGCTAGGTAAGAATGGCAAATCAATAGATGAAGTAATGAAACTTCATCATTTGAGATGGTTGGGACATATGTTAAGAATGCCTAACCACCGACTGCCTCGTTGAGTTATATTTTACGGTGTTGGGATAGGTTGTAGGAAAGCTGCAAGCGGTCTTACCAAAACATGGCACAAATCCATGAAGTCACTGACAAGTGGACTGAGTCATGTTGGTTGGGGCCTACGGGATGATAGTAATCGATGGTTAGAGACCCTGAGTAACATGGTTCAAAAGCGTTTGCAATGGCGCAGATGCATTCATTGTTTGTGTTTTCTCTGAATTAATCATCACTTCTATCTTTCTCTTTCTAAATTTACCTCGTCAAATCATACTTCTTGAATAACATCTTAACATCTTCGAACCCTAATCTCTCCGATTACTGCTAATACCTTTACTACCTCTATTATTATGGGATTCGAATAGACAGTTGCATCTCTGTGTGCTAATGTGGTATGGCAACCTGAACTGATGTACTTACGTACAAAGTTCTATGTTGATATTGACTGATAGATTGACATTCCGTGCATGTATATTAGCTAAACCTAATTTACAGAGTCAGTTAGATTGTTGGAGAATGCTTCCACACATGGTTCAAGAGCATTAACCAGTAGGACTTAGCTAATAACATTCAGCAAGTAAATAATAGATCTAAGAGTTTGACTCTGGTATGATTCCTTGAATATCATCATGTAACAAGATAGTGCACTTTTTCATAACACAGATTGATAATGTACTTATTCTCATTCTACTTAGTCGTTGTGAAAATACCTTTCACGATTACACTCCTTTTTTTACAACTTGACAGTGATTTACCCTTAACATTGTTTATGAATATAATATTTCTCTAACTGTCATTTAGCAGTTTTATGGTATGGTATTTACATGAGTATTGTTACTAAAGTTTTTTTTGGCATTAGTGATAATGTGCATATATGCATAGATTGTCTTCTCCTAAAAACTACCATTTTAGTTAGCATAGAATCTATTCATTTGAACTATAAAAAGTCATTGTTTACTCTGACTTTAGGAATGAGCGGCCTATCAGCCAATCAAAATAAAAACACTGACTAGTTATCAAATAACAATTAAAACAACAAACTAAGAGCTGTAAAATATCAATTGAATGATAGTTTTGATTTGATGAATATTCAGTTCTCATATGTCGGATTATAAACTTATTAAGAGTCGGGCTGGTAATCATCTTAACAAGTTTTCGTTGCTAACTAAGATCAGTTATGATGTGAAACAGTTAGAGGTTAGGTATTAAAAGTCAAGTTTCAGTTCTGAGTTTGCTTTCACAAATTAGGGTTAGGGTTTCTCCATCATGAACTGACATCAGCTACAATGCAATGCCTTGTCGTTTTACTATTTTACAAACTCAATAGAGTTATAGTTGAAATTTACAGTAAGATATTATCTATCTACACTAAACAGTTTTGACGACACAGTGTGTATAACAAAAAGCACTTTGAACATATGACTTATTTTGACAGCATTTATGTTAAGTAATTTTTTAGCTCAAATACCATCTTTTTAATTCAATTTTAGGTTTTGTAATAGACATTTCTATTGACTTTAATCATTCTAGAGACTATATATATTGTTAAGTTATATATCGTAGCACTTTTGAATTTCACGTGAAATACATGAGGAGTTATTGTAGTTCTGATTAGTTCACTCAAGGTCGTCACTATGTCATACTTTGACCATTTATTTTTATGTACTTTCAGTTTTGTTGATCTTGGTTTATATTTTCTTTTAAGCGTAACAACTTAAACCTATCTGATGACTGTAAAATTGTAGCAAATCTGTGTTGTTGTCATACGTCTATGTGATTAGCGGTAGTTTACATTGTCTTATACCCAAAATGGTCGAACTACATTGGCCCCTGCTTCCCACTAGAAAGAAGTCTTGTTTGAGCGTCGTGGGTGCGTGAGTCTCACACTAGAACGAAAGGAACTTCCAGTGGTGCCGAGTTTGCAATGGTCGTCTAGCATTGATCAGATCATTATTTCGACATGTGTTGCGTATGCCTAACCACTGAATGCCTCGTCGAGCTATGTTTTGTGGTGTAGGAACAGGTTGGAAGAAAGCTAGGGGCGGCCAAACCGAAAACATGGCAGAAATTCATGAAGTCACTGACAAGTGGATTGAGTCATGTTGGTAGATGTAGACTACCTGGTTGGGGCACGCGAGACGAAAGTCACCAATGGTTAGATGCCTTGAATCTCATGTCTGAAAACCGTTTGCAATGGAGCAGGTGCATCCACTCTTTGTGTTCTCTCAAACTCTTACCTTCTGAATTCCTCATAATCTCTATCATTCTCTTTCTAAAGTTACCTCACTGAATTATACCCTAATCTTCTCCATTACTGCTAATACTTCTACTATCGCTGTCACTCTTGGATTTGAACTGACAATTGCGTCTCTGTGCTGTTGTGTGGTATGGCAACCTGAACTGATGTACTTATGTACGAAGTTCTGAGTTGTATCTGTCTGTCTGTCTGTCTGACGATAAATTCTTGTGGTGGATGTGGGCTTACCAATTCTGTGGTGGTCGGTATTCCGTATAATTCCCAAACTTCGTATTACTGCTCGTGCTAATATCCATCACTAGATAACGCCCAATGGTGTTTAAATCAGAAAAGGAAGCGCTGATTATGTTTATCATCGCATCACACAGATCAAAAAACCATAGGCATGTGAAGAGAAAATGAAAACGACATCAGTGTGCAGAAGAGCAAGCGAACAAGTGAGCGTGTAAGTGAGTAGGATTAAAATGTGTGTGGCGTTAGACTTTCGTTATCTTCGATTTCTCGTAGATCTTGGTCTTGATGATCGGGCTACTAGAGAACATGAGTCGTTGCCACAATCTCTTAATTATTCCAATTATTTTATGATCGATACAAATATCGGATTTAATTGAAATATGTATATAGTCGATATTGACATCGAATTATTGAAACTGTTAATCGATACAGCTAGTCAAATGACTATATGCGTAGGTGGCAAGTAAAATGCCCAAGCGTACATGCGCGCATACAAGCTCAACAATGATAAAAGTACAAGATATTATGTGAGGTGCTACTGTAGTGAACGAGAACACAGGTGAGGGCAACGGAATTGTATTTAACGAAAATTACAGAGTTACTCAGTAAAATCGG